TGTAGCCCCCACCCCCACTCCTGCCGTTTAGCTCTGTTTTTTGTTGTTGCTGTTCTACAATTTCTTTTTCTTTTATATAATCAAACTTCTTTCATCTTATTTCGGCAGTATTCACGTATTGTCATCCAATCGTCGGCCACTGCGGCATAGGGCAGATCCATAGAGGGGCGCATGGGGTGCCCCCCTTTTTAGGGGGCTGTGGTTATTCCAAGGATGTGCATATAAGTCTTTCGTTGTGCCCCATCTACATGTATCTATCTATGCTAATTCACATGTAGCATGTACGTTCTACGGTGTTGGGGTCAGTGGCGTAGGTATAAGGACGAAAGAGCCCCGTGCCCCCTCCCCCTCTCCCAATCCGACACACAATCGAAGGACGAACAATTGGGGGGGGGAGAAGGGGATATGAGGAGGGGGTGGGGGTGTCGAAAATGATTAGACCCCTACTACACCTCTTTATAAATCGGTTGCTATGCCAATCCAAACGTTATCCACTCAGCAAATTTTGACCCCCCCCCCTCCTCAATGATCTAAGTACCCCTCCATGACTGGACACACGCTACGCCAGTGCATCGGGCCCCACCGATAACGCGACAAGATTAAATGTCCGTAATAGGGAATATGGGGCAAGGTTGAAATAGATAACTTACGTATAAAGCTAGCCCCCTCCTTCATCATCCCTCTTTCTCCTCATCTCTCTCCCTCTCCACTTACATACACTGCTCACACTACACACAACCACCCCAAGTCCATCCTACATCGACGTCTCTTCCTGTACCCCCCTTACAGATTGCTGACGCTAAACTTCCGCCCCTCCCCCTCCCCTCAACACTCCACCCTCCATCCCATCTCTCTTCCCCTCTCCTTAGAGATACTCGAACTCGGTCATGGAAATGTCAGCAGATGAGCGCATAGCATTCGGAGGACTGACCGAAAGGTTGTCAGACCACAAGTAAACTCTTTTACCAGGCTGATTCTTCAAAGAAACTAGAAACAACTCGCAGACATATAAAGCTCTATGCGAAAGGCGTAGGTGGATTGGAATAATCTTAGTTATTTCGTGATTCATGTCGTGTCCCTTATTAGTAAAATGACTGAAATGATACCTTATTTATTAAAATTAGTCTGCTATCGCAGACTAGAGTTAAATGTATCATCAGCTAGTTAACTTTTCGTTAATTGTCGCATGCTGTCTAGGCTTCCCACCGATGCATCTGATATTGTATCCTTCTGGCTCCGAACGAATGGTCACGACTAGTTTTTAATGAATTCAAACTAGACAAAAATTCATATGTGGTTCGTTGATTTCCCCCTCATATCCCCCCATCCACCCTACAAAACAAAAATATATATACGCCTACATATACAAATAATATAAATATATATGTGAACAATTGTATCTAAATTGTTTATTGATAATTCAATTTGAAATGTATCATTCATTTATAAAATGGTCCATAACTTTATTGTTTAAAGCCACTTTAAAGCCACCGAATGCAAAACGTATGGCGTTTAAGACTATTGTGCGCTGAGTTATTATACGCACCTTACTTGATGTGGCCTGCTTTCTGGCTTTGATCTAGCCGACGACATCAGAAATTGACTTGACCAGGTGAGACAAGTGACACGTGACATTAACAGCAGGTGCGTTAAGTGGGCTAATTACTCGCCCAAATCTTCCGTGCAAATGACCGGGAAAAATCAAACTGGCCAGCATGTGTTTTAGGTGTACTTTCACAATGGTGTTTGTCAACGTACCGACAACATTATTAGTTTGAATGCATAATTAATGCACATTTCAATTAGTTTTAAACTAGGCATACATGTATATCGATATATTTCGGTTATTTATTTTAATCACAAACATTTTCGAAGTTCACTTCTCCAGAATTCGTTCAATACTTTTTGAACAGTGGTGTGCTCTCACTTTTTACCTGTTAATCATTTATCTTCATAGTTTGATTATATTCGACAAAATTATTACTATTCGGTTTATGTTTTAACGCAATATTTCACTATAACATACTATGATGCTGTACGTTAAACTTTTGGAAAGCACCGGTGAGAAGAAGCCCTCAAGATCTTTCCTTACTTAGAGTTACTTTGAGGCCCGCCCAATAAAACGAAAGGGGCATTATTCCGGAAAATCCCTGACAAGCAAAATCAATGCCATATTTGACTTAACACGGGGGGGGGGGGGGGAATGGGTGTCCCCCAGCGATGACAGACGACAACTGTGGAATTTGGGCCTACTGTATGACCATGGAGCTATATACAGCATTTTTGATAGCGAGATGGCGCACTTGACTGGAGCAGCGAAGCACAAATTAACTGAAAGCGTTTTTTCTCGTTCTTTTTTAACAATCAGAAACGATTGAATGACGTTGCATAAAAAATGGGAGCGTGTAGTAGATAGTGTGAGACAGAGAGAGAGAGAGAGAGAGAGAGGGGGGGGGGGAGGGATAGGCGTAGGATAAATGGGAAAATGAATTGCTCAGAGTGAAATTAAGACATAGAAATTAGATGTTTCGATGTAGTGATGATTTTTGTTTGTAATAACACCAACGAATTTTATGAAATGGGTGAACTGGGCTATACACGTAAAGGATAGAGAGAAAGGGAGATAGAAACAAAAGCAAGATATAGAGAGAACGAGTGATTGAGAGAGAAATAGAGAGAGAGGGAGGGTGAAGATGAGGAGGGGGAGGAGAAGGAGGGCGTTGGGAAGAAGAAGAAGAAGAATATGCTTTATTATCTACAAGTTACTTGAATTTTCATGGCAGCACTCATTGACAAAATATTTCATTCATTTCTCCACCCTAATCCCTCTTGCTTTCTATTTCCTTTTCTCACCTCATCTTATCTTTCATCCATATCTTCATGTTAAGTAGCCGTAAAACGGCAAGTATTCAAGCATCGCTTGGCATGTGCTCAGCGATCAATACACTCTCCAAATATATCAGTTACCCTCAAAACAAGCAAAGATTTCAACAGACACCGTGCGGCCATTTTGTCGCTGGTAAACGACACCTCGGCCAAACAGACCGGGTCAATGGCCGCTAGGTCGATAGCACTCTTGGTCTATCCCCGCTATGGGTTTACGAGTGAATAAATTTGTCTCTCGACAGTGAACTTTTTGCTCAAATCAACTTTCATGACAAATAACAGAGACATCTTGTAACGAAAAAAACAAAAACAGTATTTTTTTTTTTTGGGGGGGGGGGGGGGGGGGGGGGAGGCTGGACATTAGTTTCTTCCCAGGATTTTTTTCTATATTAAAAAAATTATTACCGTGAACGCCCCTCTAAAAAGGAATGGCAATAGAGGTTTATAATGGGCCCACCACGTCCACCACATCCACGCACACACGCACAGAAATATTCTCTGTTGGAATACCTCGTGGGGTCATTGTCCTTTGGGGGTGAGTATGACTGCATGCGTATTATCTGATCATCTTCTTGGTGAAGCACCAGACATCAATGCCACGATCACTCCCAAAGTAATTATGACACATCCAAGAGGCTTTTTATCAATTCTGTTTGTTTATCCTGGATGGCTAATATGACAACAACTTGTCGCGATGGACGAGAAATATCATTATAATATCTCAAGGCGTCTAATCCTCGGTCAGTAACTACGGAATGTGTTTTCCTTCAGAGTATCCATCCCTGTTTCGTCTGTTTCACTTTGACTTCGCGTTCGGGGGGCTGTAACCGCTCGGACATCGACCCCAAAGCTCAACGAGTCCGTCCAAGCCAATGCCCCTCGTGCGCCGGCTGGCCTGCAAGCACGCCTTGCTTCCTCGACATCACAGCAGAGCATGAAACGAATTCCGCAAGCAACTTGCATTCTCTCTCATCTTATTTTTCTCAAACTGGTGCCAGATGTTTTGTCACCGTATCTTTTTTTTCGGGGCGGGTTGGGGTGGGTGGGGGAGGAGGTGTGATTCCGTGTGTCTCAAATAATCCAATGAAGACGTGCAAGCATCTATCTAAATGAAATCACATAACAATGCTACCTTTGCCATAAATAAACTACACCACTTGATATTTGTAACGCATGCTGCATTTTATGTATTGGTAGTTCATTGCCAGAGGGAAAATGTACATTTTGGTCAGCCCTGGTCAGCCCCCCTCCCTTTCCCTCTCCTCCCCGTTCGTTTGTCTTCATTCTAGTCGAGGGAGTTGCTTTAAAGTAGGCAGACGTGTTATATTTTAAACATCGAGTCTATCTCCATACCTTAAAGGAGGTTCTGCGAAGGTCAGAAACGCAAGTGACCATTCGGGCATTGACCCTTTCTTCGAAGAAAAGACGTGACTCTGGCTCAACAAGAGGAGTGAAGAGAGGGTGGAAGAGATGAGAGAGAGAGAGAGAGAGAGATAGAGGGAGAGATGGGGAGAGATTTTCTTGTATATAATCATTCGGGGACATTATTACTCTCATAATAACTTGAAACGTCATTTTTGAAAGCTCATTTGTCACTTTCATTGACGATATTTTCGACAGGTATTTATCGCCTCGACGTTTATGTGAAGGGCTCATGATTATGTGATTAAATGTACAATAAATGATGGAGATGGAGTGTTAGTCAGAGTCGTCGTGTTTTGATGGATCAGCGATAATATTTCGAGACATTAATGATCACCTTAGTTTATATTCCAACTTTTATGATTTAATTGAATTCAGCTGGTTGATTATAATGCTGAACTTTGTGAACAAAACCAATATGCAATTTTAAATGATGTATTATGTTCTCGCTTTTTAAACGTCAGAAGTGATTTAAGTCATGTCGCTTGGAGTTTCGGGACGAGGATTGGGGGGGGGGGGGGTGGTAACAGTTGCGAAGATACGGGGGTGGGCACGTTCCTCCCAATCGAATCGGAGCAGAAAAGTGCCCCACCCCAAGCATTTACGTCACTGGGTGACCAGTTGCATATACTTACCTTATTTTTAAACACTAACTTTTCTGTTTTTTTCTTCTTTTGAATTTTTTTTATGTGAGTATCTTGAACAATTCAACATAAAGTTCACACAAGTTTTCATATTTTTTCTTTACTGCAGGTTTATGGGCCGTTGCTAACAATGCCGGAATTTCTTGCTTTGGTCAAGCAGAGTGGTGCACTGTTGATATGTTCAAGCGAATCGCTGATGTCAATCTATGGGGAACCGTCCGGGTGACAAATGCCTTCACGCCACTCGTTAGGAAATCTAAAGGTAAAACAATTCATAAACAATTATTATCGGCATGTTTTAAAATATTTGGATGTGTTTGTCCAAATGTGAAAAACTGTTTTTGGTGTTGCAAGACTATTTTTAACTTCTACCTGTAAATTTGAAATCCTATGCCCCTTTTTTCACATTTGACGACAACATTTAATAACAAGATTCAAATGGTGCCATTGCATTACTTTGTTAAGATTGTTGTAAAAATAGGCTTATGATTCGTAGGTATTATTATAGGCAGATTGTAACTTTGCCCTTACCAAAACGTGTTTCTTTCAATTTTGTACACTTTCGTTTTCGTTAAAATTAGCCTATTTTTGAAAACAGAAAACCTGCGATACCGATGGCTGAACAATCTGACAGTTCTCGAGACTGACATTGCCGATCTAGATAATCCTCACAAAAGGTGTCATCATGCCCCGAGACATCGTCGGTCCCTTGGGCTGTCAGTCTCGTGGGCTGTTGGTATCGTGGACCGTCGCGTGGGCCGTCGGTTTCGTTGGCTGTTGTCTACTGTGTTGTGCCGAATCTATCAACTCCGATTCTAATTTACTATGGTTATTTGTTTCTTCCATGTTTAGGATTTGTATTAATTTCTTATTGGATTTTATTTTACAAACTCGTTGTTTATCCATCTTCATCCCCTTCAGGTCGAATCGTGAACATTGGTAGCGTGCTGGCACGCCAGGGTACTGCAGGCTTCGCCCATTACTCCATCAGCAAACATGGCGTCGAGGCCTTCTCCCAATGCCTGCGCTACGAGCTCCGAAACTTCGGTGTTCGCGTCAGCATCGTCGAGCCCGGCAACTTCATGGCCGCCACCAACATCTACACCAACGAGAACATCGACGGCGTCCGCGACGAGCTCTGGGCGAACATGAAAGACGAGCAGAAGACTGTCTTCGAAAAGGACTTCAATAGCATGGTTGACATTGTTCGGTTCTCAAGGACAATAGGTTCGGCGGACACGTCGCCTGTGGTAGATTGTTTTCTGGATGCGGTCTTGAACGAGAGTCCGCGGGTAAGGTACGAACCGAAGGACTTATACTGGACGATCCGTACACTCATCTTGGCGCATTTTCCTGAAGAGATTTCAGATCTTATATTCTAATGTCGTTGTCGACCCCTATCGTCGAGTTCTACTTAGAAATTTGAATAGGATGTTTTGCTGCTGTTGCTGTATTATTAAAAAGTACAAGATCAGAATGAAGGAGAAGGAAGAAGATTTGTTTACAAAGGAAACGTCATGCTACGAGTACGAGGAGAAGCAAATTAGGAGATTTGTTGAACAGTTGAAGGCACAGTCTAGATAGAGGAGAACGAGCATAACATTAGTAGAACATTTAGTAGAAAGAAGCAGCTATGAGAATAACGAACTCCGCTATAGTGAATGGTGAAGGGTTATAGGTATACAAATAGACACGTTCGGTGATTTGTTAAAGATTTCATATCGGGTTTCATCTCAGAGGACTCCAATAATCAAAGTTGTTAATTGATGGCTTTACATTGCAAAGCTGGAGTACTCATTTCAAAGTGCTGCTAAAACTTTGAATACTATCAGGACGTTTGTGACTGTGTATATTCTCTCATGTTTCATCTATATCCTTATTTTATTTGCTATAAAATGATGCCTTGGGAAATTTCTTCTGCATGTTCAGTTGAAAAATTAAAGATAAGGCTCATGATGGGAGATCAAATGCGTGTGACATTGTGAATGTTTAATTTACAGTCCCAGTAAAAAAAAAAGAATAGCACTAAGATTTGATTTGATATATAAGTTACTAGTATGTATATTTGTTTTCAATTGAACGACGGGAGTAGTTCCGATATGCTCATAAGGGGATGTCCCCTGCAGTAGACCATCAGCCCCGGCCACGAGACCGACTATGCCGGTCTGACGAACACTAAGTAAAGTTGTCAGAAGACCTGTGAGAGCCACACGGTCTCGTGAACCCCGAGATCTTTTTACAGAAGGCCCGTCGGTTTTGTTGATAGTCGCGACGGTCTCAAAGGCTGTCGGTCTGTTCCGCGAGCTGTGGCCGTCGATATTAAAGCGTTCATCTTGCGTAAGAGAGTAGTAGTCTAGTAGATATAAACTTGGTGTAGGTAGACGTTTTAGATGACAACTACAGTCTTCCAGTTATTCACATTAAGTCTATCTCTGCAAATGTATCAGTTGGTGTGTATCAATATTGGGTCCCCGTTTTCCTGTATCTACCTCTATACTAGTGAACTAGGCATCCATTGTACAAATTATGTCTTTACCTACATCCATTATTGAATCCAATATTTACCGGTATATCAAAGGTTTATGCGTCTTTCCCAATGTCTTGTCGTTAGTTCTTCTCATTGGTTTTGAAATTTCATGTCATTTATAATTTCAAAATATTGATTCCTCACTCTATGTATCCCATTCACATTTCTGTTCTCAGCTCAGCGCATCCGCTTAACATGCTCAAAGTTATGACTCATTAATTGTGTAAGTTATAAGTGAACGGTAAAATGAACGCATCGTGTATGAATATATCTTAAATTGATTGAAAACTCGTATAGTCAGGTCTCAAGTAAAGTGATTCACATTTTGTCAGTAAAAGGTTCATTTGTTTGTATTGGTTTCCTAAAAACACGTAGATGCGAAAATCACACAATATTTTTGGGGTGACTGATTTCTCATTTTCGATCTCTTTTGTTGTTTTTGTTTATTTTTTATGTCAATAGACCAGGTGGAAAATCAATAAGCTGAACATTGATCAAAAGCAAAAGCCTAAAAAAATTGAATACAATGACAGGTGAATATTGGCTGAAAGCAGCGGCGTCAATAAACCAACTTGAATTAGACAGGGGAGGGGGAGGGGGAGGGGGAGGAGTGTTTGAGGACAGTTATTTAATAGCTGAACATTTTAGAAAACCAGAATAAATATCAGATTCTTAAATTCCCAACAGGGGTAAAAATTGGTCGTCAGATTTGCCATCATGTGTTCAAAAAAGAGAAGCAGAGAGGTCATTAATTTTTGAGATTTCGTCTACACCATATACAAATGCTGTATTCACCGATACAATGTTATAATGGGGGGAATTCGTACCCTCTCCCCTCATCTAGACACTGTCCTGGTAGATGGAAACACGATAGAAGTAGATAGGGTTAGAAAATTATCACTTTCACTGTAGAATATTATTTTATGATTTTGAGCTACTTTTCATATCGCTTTATTTGTATTACATACATGATCGCAAACAGTTACCCCGAATAGAATAGATTATTCACATGACATGATCAAATTGTTTAAACATTATTTGATATTACAAGTTTATGACGAACTCATCAAATTATCTGCACGTAATGTGATAACGAAATTCATTAAAAGACCAAACCATTTAAATATTTGCTTATTCGCTATATCGTATTCTGCGTGAATGTTTGTGACATGTTCCCTTTTCATATAACTTGAATGATAGATATTGTTGTATTCGATTTATATGACGCTGTACAGACAACTATTTGAAATAATTATACCTCTTGACGTAAATTATAAACTATATCTTATGTAAATAGTTTTTCATATGATTCTTTATGACTTTCTGTATTCAGCGGGGTTTCGAATTGTATATCTATCAAACCAAAAAATACTTCCTTATCAAGTAAATATGAAGTTGCTATTGTGTCATGAATGATTAAATAAAACACGGTCGCAGAGACTTTCAAGAAATCAATTTAAGGGCGATTTCAGAATTCTATTGTATTGTCGGCCTATAGAAGACATTTTCTGATTACGTAACATGTCATTTTGATTTTCGCACGCTTCAAAAGGTGATAAAAAATATTCCTCAGGTTAATTTCTTGAAAGCATTTGCAATCGTGTTATAAGTGGTTTTTTATATATGAATATATATATATATATATACAGTGTATATCTGTCATCGCGAAATTTCGTGACTGAACTTATTCGAGTCGAGTCGAGTGGTTTAAGCCCTTGACTTGAAATTCAAAGGTCGTGGTTCGATCCCCGACACGGCACTGATGTCCTTTGGCAAGGCATTAATCTTCATTTGCCACACTCGACCCAGGTGAGGTAAGTGGGTACCTGGCAGGAATTAATTCCTTGAAATGCTGGAGCGCTGTAATGGCAGCTAGGCTAAAGCGGGGTAATAATAAATGATCCTTGGATAAGAATATCTAGATAGACGGCCCTATAGAAATGCCTGTTATTATTATTATTATTATAATTTCTATGTACTCTCAAAATTGCTTGGGTAAAATATTCGCACACAACTGTAAATTAATTTCAAAGGGATTTTATTCATTGATAGCTAAACTGTCTTGATTGCGTGACTCTTTACACGCTTCACCTTTACGCCAATATTGGGGTTATAATTATATTAAAAGCCTTCTATCCAAAAGCGAATAACTTGTTCATTCATGATTAAAATGTAAGTCATTCTCATCCGTTATGAAGATGAGGTGTTCAAATTTTGCACAAATTATTGATCGAATTAAAAGGGGGAAAAGGGCTTCATGTACATACCCTCGAAATGTAAGACAACTTTGTAGATTTAGACTTTTGCAATTATTCTGCATTTTCTAAAAATAGATTGTAGTATACACCATACTTGTCTGATAACAATAATAATAATATAAATATTTATGGTGACGATGTTTAAAGTAATCATTGTAATAATGATATTCCGGGTTTATTTAGCGCTTATAGTACAACAGCAATTTCTGTAAAGTGTAAGTGCGTTACAATTATTTTTGGTTTGCCCAATTATGAAGATAATATTTCTTAGGTTTATTCAATTTTCTGAAGAGTGTAAAGTTAGTTTTCAGTTTTAGTTTCAGTTTTTAATTCTCTTTTCCAACAGAACGATCAATATACAGAACGATCAATGTACATTAAAATAATGCATTTTTTTCAAATCATTACTCGAATTACAAAAGAAAATATATTAACTTGCTGTAAAATATGTACGCTTGTTTTTAAGGAAAACTGGAAATAGAGGGATCCACTGAGAAGCAGTTATCTTAATTTTTAATTTGATTTGATTTAGTTTGGCATGATTCGTTTAAGAATCAAATGAGTTTTTACTTTTATTGGTGAAGGAACATTTTTTTTCCTATTATCCGCGCTTTCTAAACTAAGAAGTTTCAATGATATGATAGCGTCTATCTAGAGTATCGAAGTAAGTTCGATAACTTTGAGTGTCTTTTGAAGAGCTCTTGAATTAAAGGTGAGGAAGATTGGTTTCAGTTTGGGCAATTGTCAGGGGAAATACAACAAACATAATTATATTCACATGACTTTGTTCTTGAAATTTACACAGCAACTGGTATCATCTAAGCTTCAGACATAGACGCTAATTTGACACTGTTCAATTCAATGCCATTCAAATAATTTTATATCCATAACTCAATCAAAATATGAGTAAATGCTTTCTTAACATGAATATAAAATGACATATGTAATAGAACATAGAAACTGAAAGTTATTTGTAATTATACAATCTTAAATGTCGACAGGTCATCGAAGCATTTTAGGATACAAAATATATAAGCGTATCATAAATAAGGTCGAACTCTAAAGGTAAAGAGAAATCCTCTAAAAATCAGAACTTGTATTTGTGTGAAAAACCCTTGCATGTACATTACATTATATTAGCACGGTATAGAGATACGCTTTTTTGAAGAAACCTTGTACTGCACACGACATTGTTCAATCAATATAGGGCTTGTAAAGATCAGTTCAGCGAGAAAAAAAAATTAAAATTCACTTTGATAATAATGCTAGCCTGAAATATATTTTAGCCTGAAAATTTCGTACATTTAATCACCCCCCCCCCCTTCAGAAATACACGTATCGCACTTTCGGGATTGAAATGACACAGCCCTTCTGAATCCAATTAAAATGTAAATAATATGATAAATACGAGTAATTATGCATTGGTGTTTTATATCATGATTGTGTTCATTTGCAATGAAAATGTAAAATAAATCAAAGAAATTATTTTCAAATCAGTTTGTTAAGTGTGTGTTCATTGAATGCTGAGAGCACCAAATACGTAGCAAAACGCTTTGGGCACCTGCCAGTGGGTGGATACGAGTGCTTTACAAGCAATCAGCAATTTATAGTAATTTTCATTCCGACCCCTCATCCTATCTACAGGGGGCACGTTCCC